GTATTCTCATTCCGGCTGAAGTGGACAGCAGATTCGAGCTCACCTGGTTCGCATCAACATCCTAGGCCAGCATTGAGTGATGGCGATTTGGACAACGACGTATGGTAGACGTTTGGTTGGTCGACTGAGTGTTCATTCTATATCATTGTAGAGCGTAGAGACGATGTCCTGATAGAGCTGAGATCTCTTAAGTGTCGTCGTTGAATAGCGTCAGTAAAGCTGTGCTTTCGACTTGAAGGTGAGGCCTATGTGAAGACTCCGAATTGAAGGAGTCTTGACATGGAAATGTACTAATGTATTGCCCACTTTCAGTTGCCTCACTTTCCAACCGAGACTCTCTCGTGACCTTGCCTACCTTGGAGATTGTTACACCACAGCCTGTGTCTATTCCTGAGATCAACAACCAAATTATTCTTCTATTTCGTTTATAAGCAGGTTTTCGAGACTACCAGTAGATCAATTGATGAAGTTTATTCATTCTATTTCGTTTAAGGTCTTGAAAGCCTACTTATAAACGAAAAATAAGTAATGTAGTCGATTGCAAATATAACTTTGCTTCATCGACAATTCCACCACAGAATGTGAGCTGGGAAAATGCCTGACCTTTCTTGAGAGTTACATCTGTCCTGTGTCACGAGGGCACTCATGGAAGTGTTACTTAGTGACTAACGTGTCGAAATTATACGTTCTCCTATCACGGTTCGAGTCCTGCTGGGGTTGCTGAGGCGACATAAGTGAGGTCGAAACTGCAGTTCACTTCCTTCCAGATGAAAGTACCTTTCGAGAAACAAGGCTATGTGAAAACCAATGGAAACGTAATGTCTACTCACATGATTGTGGGAAAATTCATCTACCAGTCTCTTTATCACCTTAAGTGAATACATCTCATTTGCTTATTCTTCGGCTGCCATTTCTGCCATGCTCTCTTGTCCCTGGCCAATTGAAGAAGAATACATCCGGTCGAATCGGGAACATTTATGCAAACTCGTCGTGGAATGGAACCCATCCTGTTATCTAAACACAAAGACACACACACACACACACACACAAGTCAGGAGTCCAGAAGGTGACAAGCGCGGAAGCAGTTTAGGCGACATTAAAAAAAGCCTCCTTTCCAGATGCACAAATAAATGGATACAGATACCAACCGCACACAAACACAGGCATACCGGCCGGATCAGCCTGTCACCTACTCAAGTTGTCGACGCAGCGTCCCACTCAGTTGGGCAGAGTAACAGCCCATTTGGGAGACAGTCGCTGGGCCATCACCGGACCAGCGCACGGTTGCCTGGCCGCGACTGAGTAGCGGAGTCATGTCGCTGGACACGCACCACCGACTCATCTCAGTCTTCCTGTCCCTCTGTCCTTTGTCGCGAGGCCTCTTCGATCCCATTCCATCCCATCTAATCTCGTCCTGTACCTTCCCCCCACTCTGTGTTGTCTTGTCCTGTGCTATCCTGTCCGGTCCGGTCATGTACTGTCCTGTACCGTCCTGTGCTGTCCTGGGCTGTCCTGTGCTGTCCTGTGCTGTCCTGTCCTGTCGTGTTGGTTCCCCTCTTCTCCAATGCACTCCCAACTATACCTTGGCTCGCTCGCTCGCTCGCTCGTTCGCTCCTCCCACTCCACAAAACCACAGCGCCAGCCCCACTTCTCAGGCGGACTGTGAAGTGTATGCGGACGTCTGGCCGGGAGAGAGAGGAGTCAGGCCAACGACAGCCCTTTTGCCATTTCAGCTGCCAGCCTGCCACGAGAGGAGAGTATTTTTTCAACGTTCATTCCCTCCTCTCTCTCTCTCTCTCTCTCTCTCTCTTTCACCCTCTCGACCATTCGTCGTCCGCTCTCCCCGGACTCCCGCCTCATCGACGCATAAACGCGGTAGCCACTAAGGCGTGTCCGCCAGATGCCTCTCGTCCGATCCAGATGAAAGACAGCTACCGGCCGAGGGCCCGAAACGCGCTCGTTTGGGGCACACGAAACCGCCGCCATGCTACCCTCTCCTATTCTCTTTTCCATTCCTCTTTCT